CCCACCCACCCCCCACCCACCCACCCACCCACCCACCCACCCACCCACCCACCCACCCACCCACCCACCCACCCACCCACCCACCCACCCACCCACCCACCCACCCACCCACCCACCCACCCACCCACCCACCCACCCACCCACCCACCCACACACCCACACACACACACACACACACACACACACACACACACACACACACACCACACACCACACACACCACACACACACACACAGAGACATAATTTGACAATATATATATATATATATGTATATACACATACACGTGTGTAGAAAATTCTGAAAACGAGCATCCTGATTGTTTATCTTGGATACCTTCCCCCTGGGCCTTTGTTTGTTGGGTGGCTTAGCTACCTGTTGTTGGTGTCCCTCATTGGTTGTGTGCACATTTGCTGCCGTCGAATGACCATCTTTTACTGACGCTTGGTTCTTGGGTTTGAACCATTTCTTTGGTTCTCCCGGACTCATCCCTTTGAGAGTTTGAGACTTGAGGCGTATAAATGGTGGGTTTAAACTGAAACTGGGACCCAAAAACCAAGCTTCCAGGTGTCGTTTGGTGTCACCTTTGAGTGGCTGGTTGTCCCCTTTTTTTGGGGGGGGTTGTCCCTTTGGTTTGTTTCAGGTAACTCTTGGCGCTTTGGATCGGCTTGGCTTTGGATTTGCAGCCCTTCTCGTAGACGGGTTTTATGGGAAACCCCTCCTTCATCACACCTCTGGGCTCCAAACCAAGGGGGAAGCGGATAGATGTGTTTCCCTTCTGGTCGTAAACACTCACTCACTCCCTGCGTTGGACTCCCTGCAACTTTTGGGGCTTCAACCTGGTGGTACACTCATTTGATTAAAAAAAAAAAAAAAAAAATGATGGGAAGTGAGTGTTTCTTTTCTCACTCTACAACTCGATCGGAAGTTCAAACCCCCAAGCCACAACATCAAGCCACCGATGGGGGGTCTCCCTCCCAGCAATCGACTTAGAACCTGACAGAAGGTCCCTGTAAAAGGAAAATGATCCAAACCAGGACCCCCCAAGCCACAACATCAAACCACCGATGGGGGGTCACCCTCCCAGCAATCCCCAAAGCGTCAGGTAAAAGCGTGGGAGGGTACCTGATTCTTCTCCCCTTCTTTTCTCGGAGTGCAGGTACGACATCGATGTGACGATGCAGGCCTCCATCATGAGCTCCTTCAGCCGAAGCAGCGAGATGGCCTGCTGCGCGCTCATCTGCCAGGGCCAGGAGACCTGGTCTCCGATTCGAGCTGGCTGGCGAAGCGGAACGATCTTTTTTTTTTCCAGGTGCTGAAGGTAAGTACTTTGTGATTTCAGAGGTTGATTTGTGAAAGGGAATTCGCGGAAGGTGTTTTTTTTCCCATGTGCTGAAAAGAAGTGCTTTCCTTCTTTCACAGGTTGATTTGTGAAAGGGAATCGATGTCACTACTGGAATAGGTGTTTTCCTGATTTTTGTCTTTTTCATTTTTCCTTTTCTGTGGACTTACTCAAATGAGGGATGAAGAAAATGACCAACAAGAACAAGGTTTATGCTTAAACTTACGGAGTGGGAAAAAAGGCTTTAGTGGAAATTTGAACAGGCGCCAGCAAGCTTTGCAACTGGTTGGTTCCTGCACGGATCGCAACATGAACATGGGTTATCCATGGTACCACAACACGACCGACCGAGCCGGCCCGAGAGGTGTCCATACGCTGGCCAGTCAAAGTATTGTTTGGAGGGGTATTTATTTTAGGAATTTGTTTCGTTTTTTTGGGGGAATTTTTTTCGCTTTTGGCTTCTTGGCTTCTTGGCTTCTTGGCTTCTTGGCTTCTCGGCTTCTTGGCTTCTCGGCTTTTCGGCTTCTTGGCTTCTTGGCTTCTCAGCTTCTGGGCTTCTGGGCTTCTTGGCTTTGGCTTCTTGGCTTCTTGGCTTCTTGGCTTCTTGGCTTCTTGGCTTCTTGGCTTTTCGGCTTCTTGGCTTCTCGGCTTCTGGGCTTCTAGGCTTTTCGGCTTTTTGCTGGTTTATGCGGCTTTTGGTGGCTTTTTGGCTTTTCGCATCCTCTGCATTCCCAGTTCCTCTTCGGCAGGTGGCGTTTTTCCGACATCATGGGGGGGCTGCCGCCCCCCCCAACCCCCCCGCTACGTTTTAGATTTTCTGCAGAGATTTAATTAGTTGCACCCCTAGTTGAATCATCAATTCTTCGAACATCATGGGGGGGTTGCACCCCTAGTTGAATCATCAATTCTTCGACCATCATGGGGGGGGGCTGCCGCCCCCCCCAACCCCCCCGCTACTTTTTAGACTTTTTGCAGAGATTTAATTGCACCCCTATTCAAATCATCACTTCTGCAAACAACATCGTGGGGGGGGCTGCCGCCCCCCCCAACCCCCCCGCTACTTTTGTTGAATCATCATTTCTTTGACCCCGTCACACGATTTGTGGGTGATGCTAGGGATGTTGGTGGGACATGCGGGGGATGTTGACGGGCTAGTGTAAAATGCGTCAATTTCGCGAGAACATGCTGTAAAATACGACACTTTACTGGCCCGGCAGAGATTGAATTGCACCCCTGTTTGAATCATCACTTTTTCGAGCGTCCAATTTCGCGAGAAAATGCTGCAAAATACGACATTTTAGGTAATCTGTGTAGTCCGTGTATGTCTGTATGTATGCATTTCTTCGAACATCATAGGGGAAGCCACCCCCGCCAACCCTCCCGCTGCCTTTAAATTCTATCACACCCTTTCTTGAATCATTGCACCCCTACTTGAATCACCACTTCTTCCGACATCATGGGGGGGCTGCCGCCCCCCCCAACCCCCCCCGCTACGTTTAGATTTTCTACAGAGATTTAATTAATTGCACCCCTAGTTGAATCATCAATTCTTCGAACATCATGGGGGGGGCTGCCGCCCCCCCCAACCCCCCCGCTACTTTTTAGACTTTTTGCAGAGATTTAATTGCACCCCTATTCAAATCATCACTTCTGCAAACAACATCGTGGGGGGGGCTGCCGCCCCCCCCACTACTTTTTATATATTTTTGCAGGGATTGACATGCCCTCCTACTTGAATCATCATTTCTTTGACCCCGTCACACGATTTGTGGGTGATGCTAGGGATGTTGGTGGGACATGCGGGGGATGTTGACGGGCTAGTGTAAAATGCGTCAATTTCGCGAGAATATGCTGTAAAATACGACACTTTACTGGCCCGGCAGAGATTGAATTGCACCCCTGTTTGAATCATCACTTTTTCGAGCGTCCAATTTCGCGAGAAAATGCTGCAAAATACGACAGAATCACCTTCTTCCCACTTCTGGGGGGCGCCCCCCCCCCAACGTTTTAGATTTTCTACAGAGATTTAATTAATTGCACCCCTAGTTGAATCATCAATTCTTCGAACATCATGGGGAGGGCTGCCGCCCCCCCCAACCCCCCCCGCTACTTTTTAGACTTTTTGCAGAGATTTAATTGCACCCCTGTTCGAATCATCACTACCCCGCTCTGTTTTTCTTATTTTTTTTTGTATTTTTTTTTGCTGGGATTGAAATGCCCTCCTGTTTGAAGGATTATTGTTTTGACCCCGTCAACCCGCCAGCTACATTTTTGGATTTTGTTACCCACGATTTGTTGGTGATGCTAGGGATGTTGGTCGGACATGCGGGGGATGTTGAAAACGATGCTGGGGATGTTGACCAGCTAGAGTAAAATGCGTCAATTTCGCGTGAAAATGCTGTAAAATACGACATTTTGCTGGCCCGGACGAAAAACGACAAAAATTCCCAAAACAAAATGAAAAAAAATCCCAAAATAAATCCGCACCCGTATTGTTTTCCCCAGCCGAATGTTGTTTTTTTCTTGGTCTCCCAAAGAAGCTCTCAGTTTCTGAGAGTTCGCAGTTTGGATTTGTTTTTCTGGATTCCGTTTCTGGGGCTGGTCCGGATTACTTGTTGTTTTCGTGTGGGCTTTGAAGTGTGTGGGTTTCTAGCTTTCAATGAGCGTTTTGGAACCAGAGCAAAGTTACTTTTAGAGCCCTAGGATTGTGTGTTTTTTGTGCGCCGACCTGGGAAAAAATTGAATGGGTTTAGGGTTGCTCCAAAAGAAGGGAATGCCTATCGGGAGGCTCCGAAATCAAGCCGAAATCAGGCCTATGCCAGGTGGTTCGCTTGTGAGCGTGGTTCGTGTCCCACATAAGAGGGGCAAAGAAGCAAAGAGTTCGCTCCGGACATCGCTGGAGAGGGCTGTCAAAGAGGAAAAACATCGTGGCGAAAGCCGTCGCTTTTGTCCCTGCGCAGGCGGGCCTAGCACTGCTGCTGAAAGAGATATGGCCGCGGGTCAAAACCAATAGTACCATTTCGGGGAACCACCCATTTTAGTCTATTTTAGCGGTTGGATGGGGATGTTGACCCATGGCCATGTTGTCATATTTGTGCTTTGGGGCTTGGGTCGCGGCTGGGGAAAAATGTGTGACTTCTTGTTGGGGGTGCAACTTTCTACGATCAAGTTGAAGCCCCCTAAAGTGATAAAGTCATCATGTTGAGAGATGTCCACTTTAATATCACCGACGGACTCATCTCAAAGCCCCCATGTTGGGTAGAAGTGACGGAAAGAAAGTTAGAGAACAGTTGCCAGACTCGTGGCCCTGTCCTCATTAAGATGACATGGGGCAGTCTGTGGACGCTCGCAATAGTTTCCCCCAAGGCCCGAATAAGCCTCAATGTTGCACTCTGTTTGATATGAGACCCCCGGCCCCGGAGCCGTTTTCGTGAAATTTTTGGGGTGTCTGGGTTGGACTTGGGTTCGCCAATACTTAATTTAAAGTGGCCAATTTGAAGTTTAGTACTGGCAGGACTTTATCTCAGAATCCTCCTACTTCATTTTGAATTGCCAATTCTCAATGTAGTAGCGCCAAGACTTGATCTCAGATTCTCAGATCTCAGGTCAACCACCGTTTTACAAGTAAAGGCTAAGGCTTTGATCTTGGAGATTCACACCCACCCAATCAGACTAACACAAGATCGGGGGCTTTTGTGGTGTGCGACTGTTTGGCTTTGTTTGTGTGATTGTTTGTTGTGTTTGTTTAAATGCTACATACATAAACAAGTAGGGGATTTATATGAAGATCAACGGTTTGGGAACCACTTCAAAGGCTACGGTTTGGAATTTCACACCCACCCAACAAAAGCTGGACATTTAACCCGGACCCCGGAACAGTTAAATGAAAGAGGATCCTATGAGGTCTACCCGCTTTGTGTGACTGTTTGGGCTTTTCTTTCGCAGTGGATCATTTCCAATCAAGTAGGGTCTACCCTCTCCCAGACTAACATGGAAGCTCCCAGGACCTTTTTGGAAGACTCGGTTTCATTTTACAGAGGCCTTCTGGGAGCTTCCATCTTAGTCTGAGGGAGTGTAGCATTGGAAAGGTGCTTTTTTTTCAGAACATGTCTGAGGAGGTGAAGTTCCGAGCTACAGCTGGGCACGGCTTGCGCAGGAACCCTCTTTTGAATCTGCCTGGTCATTCTCATGTTTGTTTCCGGTAGGAGGGTAACCTGTTTGCGCACATGTTTGCTTCGTTTTCGGCTTTCAGAATCTGTCTTTGGGTCTTGTTTTCGAGGGTACCTTTTCTTTGGTGGTGTCTCAATCGAAAAAAATGGAAAAAGAGGAAGAAGAAAAAGTGAACGGAGCACTGTTTTGCCATTTTGTGGGTCCAGCCCGGAACAAGACGGGCCACACATTTGTGTAGGGGAAACTTCCCCATTCTTTCCAGGGATCCTTATGTCTAGAAAACCACCAAAATCCCTGGGAAAATGGTTGGTTTTTGAGAACGATGACTGAAAAGAATGGAACAGGAATCAACCCCTAGATTATTGAATCACAACTTGTTTCCATTTCTCATTCCATTTTCTCCTTCCAGATTTCATTACCCATATAGCCGTGGGTCAAAACCAATGGTACCATTTTGGGGTAGGTGCACCACCCATTTTAATCGACTTCAGTTGGGATTTCGGATGTTCACTGGGGGTACGGGCTTTTGACCCATGGCCATATTTTTCAATGGCTCAAGATGTCTCCAATTTCTTTCGACCCACACGTTCCCGGCGGTTGCCGGGCACCCAGCGGTTGAAGATTTCGCCTTCAGGAGCGGTCGGTGGCCATTGCCTGCGGCGCCAAGATCGAGTTTACAAACATCCAAGGCGCGCAGGGCCGAAGGTGGTGTCTGGGGTCTTCTCTCACAGTCTCTATCTATGTATTCACACAATACATCTATTACACCTAGTATATCTATTAAACAAATAATATCTATCATATATTATATATATATATATATATCAACAGAAATACATCTATTACACCTATGCATATATATATATATATATATACACATAGAGTTGCATATAAGGTAAATACCCGCCCAACCACGTTGCCATGGCACCTCACAGGGAAGTGGTCCCTTCAAGAGGAAATGGTCTTCCAGGCACTTCACTGTTGTTGGATCAAGCTTTTGGGTGTTTGTGTACATATATTTATATATATGTGAATAAATGTGTATATATATATATATATATGCAACCCCCCCCCCCCATGGACCCTGGTTTTACTGCCTTTAGGGGATGGCAAATCTAGAATTTCCAAATTCCTTTTCTCGAAATTTCCAATTGTGGGTCCCCAAAGCGTGATAATTTGGAGCCCGGAGTCCTCCACAATGTCCCAGTATGATACCCTTTGCACATAAGATGTTACTTCAACTATAATTGGAATTTTGAATATAGTTTAGTATGGATATAGTTTTCAAAAATGTGTTTGTGTTCAATTACAGCTTAAACAAGCAAATCCTTTCCAAATAGCAGCTACATGAAAATGCAAATATATATTTTCGGCTAAACTCCAACTAATCTATAACACAAGAAGTTAGATGGAAGTTTTTCCCAAATATAATCCAAGTGGTAAGTATAATCTAAGACGAACACAACTCAATTTGCTTTTGATAATATCAAGTGAATAGAGACTACATCTCAAATATAATGCATATTAAATATGGCTAAACATTTGGAAATTAAAAATAGGATTTGTGTTGTTTACATTCTGGCCCTTTTGTAGCATAAGAAAGGTCCGACATTGAACTTGTTGGACGGTGTTCCAAAGGGACATTTCAAGGGAAGAGAGGTTCAAAATCTAACACTATCTCGAAACAGGGATTCTAGCTAAACCGTTGTATTTAAAGTTCTATTTGCGCAGGAAAGTTAATTCTATGTCAAAACGTGGAGGTAGTAGATGAGCAAATGTGGACAGGTAGTTGAAGAGGGTGGGGGACGGTGTGTGAACGTACATACATATGTATATCTATATATACACATACATACACACATATATAGTACCCCCAATGATCCTGCGCCTCCTCATAAAATATTGGAAAATGCAGTATTTTTGAGCGTTGCACCTGCCTTTGTTTACCTCCTGGAAAGGGGTCAACATGAGCATAGCTGACATGAAGCTCACCAAAAGCACTTGAAAGTTTGTCTAACCAATAACTTGAAAGTGTGTCCACTGGATCGCTAAGCACTTGAAAATTTGCTACTATCGGATGGAAGATTCAATATTGAAGATTACACAGAACACTTTCCTGAGAATTGTCAATCCTGGCCAAACCCAAATAGCATTCAAGTTCTTCTAACACTTGAAAGTGCTTTACCACTGGATTGGGGATCAATATTGAGGAGCCCACAAACCACCACTTTCCTGAGAATCATCCATCCTGGTCAACCCCCAAAATGTTCAAGTTGTTCTATCACCTCGAACATCCGTTACCACTGGATTGAACTATTTCACGGAAAACTTTTCCGAGAATCTTATTGAACACCGAGAGTATTGGGACAACCCTGGAATTTTTAATAATTTTTAAAAATTATGGGATTCAAGATTCAAGATTCAAGATTCCCAGAAAATATTTTCTCAGATTCTTGAATCTTGAATCTTGAATCCAGAATTTTTAATAGTTTTTAAAAATTATGGGATTCAAGATTCAAGATTCAAGATTCCCAGAAAATATTTTCTCACATTCTTGAATCTTGAATCCCAGATTTTTAACAATGTTTAAAAATGTCTGAGTTGTTCTTGTATTCTTGGATGCATTCAAACTCTTTCAGATTGCAGGTGCTGATGTCATTGCTTTTATCACATCTGTATGCATGCATGCGTATCATATACATGTACGACCATCCCCCCAATTTTGACACAAATCCAAGAAGCAAAAAGAAGCATAAAACACTGGAAAATACAGGTCAACCGCACCAAACCAGGGTCCATGGGGGGGGGGGGGTAGCATATATATGTATAACCATATATATATATACACATACATGTTTTAAGGTTGCCTACCAATGGAACAGCATCTTCTATGTTTGTCGTTGCCGTGGGGTCGTTTTTGGACTACATGCCTCAGCTCTGTATGTGGCTCTAAGCAGTTTCAACGTGGATCACCCTGCAAGAAGAGCACGCCTGCAATCCACCTTGGTTTGTGGTTTGTTGACTTGCAACGCGAGAGTCTTGCTCCTTGTACAAACTTACTTTGAGGCAAAACTTAACTTTCATTTGCCAAGGGACTTGGAGGTTGGATCAAAGGCGACTTTTTGAGACTGAGTGTTGGCTCGCCACGTCTGAGGCTCAACAGTGTACGTGAATGGCACTCAAACTTATTTGTGAGAGGCACCCACGACCTGTATTGGCGATTTTGGCAGGTAGTTCTACTGGCTGGTGCTGAGGGTCATGGAGGCTAAAGCAAGGCCCACAAAAGGATCCCTCCGCGAGTCTTCGTCCTTTACTAAAACCAAGGATGGTTTCGGTTGAGCTTTCTTTGCATTGACCAAGTGTTCTTTGCCGTGAACGGCGTTTTTCCAGCAACTTGAGGCTTCTGACATGGGGTCACATGGTGCGAGTTGCAAAAAGCAACTTTCAAAAACAGTTGAACAGCGTCACTGCAGTAGTCCAGAGAAATCTGACAAAAAGCTCCGTGAAACTACTGTGAAACTGGCGTGAAACTGCCGTAAACAACCTTTTTTTGGCGTGAGCGATTTTGTCCTGTTTTAATGAGTTGTCCAAAGTCCCCTGAGATGTCCTGGCATGATCCGGCCGTCATGAGCCAAAGATGCGCAGTTGGACGCCCGAACTCAAAACTGGGACCGGAAAAAGAAAGGACTCTGTGAGACAGACTTTTCTTGTAAAAGGCCATTCGAATCCCAGGGTATACCTAGGCCTGGACCCTCACTACCCATAAAAAGGGTCTACCCAATAAGTTTGGGGGCACCGAGCCATTTTTTAGGGTAACTTGAAGGTCCAGGTCGACCTTTCCCTCCCTGGTTGAAGATCAAAAGTCGATGCCCCGTTCTGCACCTTTTGCGGTTGGTAAGGGGGGCAGGAGCCTTACTATTGTCGGAGTGTCCCTTTGGGAGAAGCTCTATTTGGTGTGGCTCAAACAATATTGGCCCAAGACAGAGCCCTTGCAAATGTAGACACAAACCTCCGGTCCCCTGATTCTTCAATTTGAGCCACACCCGTTTCCAATGTTTTTCCCGAAAGCATAGCGAGGGGTTTTCCGGTAAAACCGCCTGAGAGATTCAACGGAGGGTTATCACAAAGTCTGCCGAGCGATTGCGCCGCGAACTGTCACCAAGAGATCGCCAGAGAGGTTGCACAGCGAGATATGTTCCGCATAGGTCCATGACCACTTAATTTTGGGTAATGACTCCATTTTTAAGGGTCATGTAGACTCCAGGTTGTTTTGAGGGGTCTGCAACAGAGCCGCGGACATTTGTTGCAGGCCTCGTTACACACCCTCAAAAAACATCATAGCCCAGATGTCAAGCAGAGATTGCCTGGAGCGATTGCTCACTTGAGATTGCGCCGGAAGACTTGCGCCAGAGGACCTGCATGTGCAACTCTTAACTGCTATTGGGCTGGATCTTTAGACCTGAACTCTTTGGTTGAAATCAAGTTGGGTTTTCCACTAAAACCCCCAAAAAGTGATTCACTTTTTGCAGGGGGGCCAACAGCAACCAAGAACTTCGCCGCAAGACTCGCGCCAGACTTGAGCGCGCAAGTGAATTTAGAATGTGCCTTTGCGCTGGCACACCAGACCTTTGTGCCCCTTTGCCGGGATCGCGTGTGCCGGACACGCAAGCGTGGTAAAACGTGTCTTCTTGAAGTTCGGAACTGGGCCACTTGGACGCGAAGGGTCCTAGGCTTGAATCCCCCCTGGTCCGCTCCAGCTTGAAACTCGCAACCTTTCAGTAAAGAAACGTAGGCAGAAGAGAGGCGTTGCTTTCAGGCGGGTCTCGTTTGTTTCAAGTCGCTTCCCTCAGTTGCCCAGTGCCACCAAGTATTTTTCTCCTTTTTTTTGGTGGCCCCACTAAAAATGGTCCAAGCCCCAAAAAGGGTTCCCTTTTTCTCCCAGGGTCAACCGCTGAGTTCCATGGGGCTTTTGAACCCGCCAGAGCGAGCCTTTCGAGCCTTCCAGGCGTGGTGCAGAAGACCATCCAGTTCTCCGAGGAGGTCGAAGGGATCCCCACGTGTCTGGATGCCCCTGGCCGAAAAAGGGGAGGTAGAGGTTGAAGCGGCAACGATGAAAGCGCAGCAGGCTGAACTAGGTCATGGTTTAAAGAGAACAAGTGTGAATCTATTTGGCCCGAGAAATTTGTATGGCATAAGATGGCATAGTCGGAAGCCCTGGTTACTCTGGTTGGCTGTGATGCCTACTCTTTAACCCCCCCCAACTGCCTGGACCTTCAAACTCCAGCAAATTTCTGGTTGTTTTAGGAGACCCCTACGATTTACCGAATTCCAGTGGTTTAGCACATTTGGGACAAAAACTCATACGATTTGCGTCGTTTCCAGTCGCGCATTGGCCATAGAAAGCAAATGCACCTCGCAGCACTGGCCAACGTGCCAATAAACACCATAAAGTGCCTTGATCATTCAAAACTACGACGTTTCCTGATTTGCGGGAGTTTGCGTGTTTTTGCGGGAGATTTGCGGAAATTTGCGGGTCAAAATGGGTACGTTTTTCTGCACCGCACAACTTTGGACCGCCGTTGCAGGTTTTGAGAAATTTGCGGGCTGCATGAAGCCGTTTATCCCTCAAAGCTTCCTTTAATCTGTCAAAGGCTGCGAGCAGTGCGATAGTGTGCTTTTTATGAGTTTTAGGAGTTTCCGGTTTTTGCGCCAAAAAGTGCTACGATTTCCCGAATATCCAGTCAAAGGCGGAAACTACGTTTTTTTTTTAGGAGGACGAAGGTCCAGGTGGTTGGTGGTAGACAGTCAACCATGTAGATGATGCACCATGTGAAACGCGTAAATCTATCGGAATCATGAACTGAGCGCTGGGACAAATGAGGTGCAACGGCCTTCGACCATTGTTCACGCAAAGGTCATGTTGAACTTTGTGGGTCAGGGTCACCGATCTCTGAACGCTTCCACCCACTACTGTTGTGGAACCCGCCAGAAGCTTCCTGGAAGAATGCATCCAGGGACCTGCTTTGGCCAGATTCTGTGCTTGCGGGGTGATTTATCATCCTTTCCAGGATTTCCAGAAAACCACCGAAGAAAAAACAGATACTGCAGGGGTTGGGGGGGAAGCACAGAAAAGAACATGGGACAACCCACCAACAAATGCTGTGGGAAAACGGGGAGGGGGAAACCACAAACCAAATCATGAACACTTTTACACAACACAAAACAAATACGCCCAGGTGATCCCAAACAACGCCGGAACCCTCCCTGAAAGCTGCCCCAAACCACCCCCAGAGCCGGCTCCGATGCTTCCAGTTGGGGAAACATCGCCACTTTCAACCCAGCCTAACAAAGAGGAAAGCACCTTTGTTTTTTCCCCCTCCCGTTTCCCCCCCCCCCCCCCAAACCAAAAACACGGGGCCCAAAACGGGGGCTCGCCTCGCCTCGCCTCGCCTCGCCTCGCCTCGCCTCGCCTCGCCGCCTCGCCGTCTCGCCTCAGGTGGCCGGGGGCTGGTTGGTGGCCGCCACCTCTTTGAACTTCATCCGGCTTTGGAACGTGTCCAAGACCGCGCCAAAGCAGGCGCCCGCAACTTCAAGTCCATGTGAGTCTGTTTGTTTTGTTCTTTCTTTCTTTTTTACAACATAACAATATGTTTGTTTTTGTTTTTTTTGTTTTAAGTTATTTCCCCTTTGTTTTAAAGGGAATCATTTGAACCTTTAAATATACATATATATATACACCCTGGTTTTAAAGGGAATCCATCACCGCTGGATTGTTGTTTCTCCAGCAATTGGAAGTATTTGGGCTCGGCGGAGGGGCTTTTTTTTGGACGAGCCTGAAGTCTCTCAAAGGAGAGGTTGATGAAATGGGTCCGTCTTTTTTTGAGTTGGCACCCCTCCTTTGTTGGTTTAAAGGGAAACCAAAAGGAATGCCAGCGGTTCAAGCGGTGTTTCCAGAAGGGGTTGCGGTTGCTTGCGGGTCCAAACCAAGGTGCAACAGGGAAGCTGGGAAGATCAGGACCCTTGATGGTACTTCAGGCCCCCCATGCGCGGTCACTAGAGCACGAGCTCGCAACTTGTTGCTTGGCTATGACTCTGACAGTTAGGTGACGGCCAGGGTCCTTTCCACGGGTCAGTATACTCGACGATTTACTAGCAAAAAAGGTCGCTTTTGACATCCGGATGACACTGGCATCCAACAAGATACAGCTCACATGAACTTCGGGATGCAGCGGGGAACCAGACATGCTGAACCCACCATAGGACCCCTCCTACTTCCCCAAAGCCCCTCACCCTTGTTCCCTACAATAAGCCCCCAAACAAAACTCCCAAGTCCAGAAACTGGTTGCAAGTGAACACGAATTGTCCATGCCCTTCGCGGCAGGAAGAAACAATAAAAACCAAAAAACAAAAAAACACGCACAGCTCCGTGTCTTTTTTTTGAGGATACCCATGTCTTTTTGGTTTTCGGTTCAGGAACAACCGACCCATTTCGGGAGGTCCAGCCTCAAAAGCCACCGCGACCCATTTCGTTTCGGGGGGGGGTCCCAGCTTCAAGCAAGGACTCGCTTTTGCCCGGCCAGGTGGGCGCCGCGCGGAAGTTTGAGGGCTCGGACCAGAAGTCCCTGGGGGAGATTCGCTCCATCCAGGTGAACAAGGACTGGGCTCAAGTTTTTGGATCAAGACTGGCATTGGGGCATTTTGCCAAGGGATGTTAGGACTTTAACTCTTTGCCAACTAATGGGTTTTCCACTAAACCACAAAAAGTTATTCACTTTTAGCAGGGGAGCAGAAAGCAACCGAGCTGTCATTGGCTTGTTGTTGGATCAAGTTTTTGGGGTATGTGACAATGGATCAATGATCAATGTAGTTTTCGCTGTTGTTGGATCAAGTTTTTCGGCGTTTAGATGTTTTGGGATGTTCATGTTTAGCAGGGGACTCCATGGCTCAAGGTTTTTTCTTGCGATCGGTGCGAGAGAGGCCATGGGAGTGATCAAAAAATGGAGGTGTTCTCCTCCAAAAGTGATGATTCCCCAAGAAAACACCCCCCCCGATCAAAATCAACCAAGGGTTTATTAAATCCGGAGTCAACATTTACCTTGAGACCATTTGGTGGAAACCCCATTGGTTGGGACCAGTTCCACCCAGCACACTTGGGGCAAATCGACGTCCGGCCTGCGGCTTCCTGCTGAAAACGGCCCGTCAGGGTTGGTTTTAGGGACTCGGGCTTGAGCTCGTGTGTTGGGGCGACAGCTGAGGTGAAACTTCAACTCAGCTGTTCAGTGGCACCTGTTTTCCCTTTTTATTTGGTGGCTGCTCACTAAAAATGGTCCAAGCCCCAAAAAGGGTTCCCTTTTTTTCCAGGGTCACTGAACAACTGAGTTAAGGCTATTGGGTTGGATCTTTGAAATCAAGTTGGGCTTTCCACACCCCCAAAAAGTGATTAACTTTTTGCAGGGGGTCAACAGCAACCAAGTTTGGTTGGATCTTTGGACTTTAACTCTTTGGGAAACAGAGGGTGTTCCATTGGACCCTCAACATGATTTGCTTTTGGCAGAGGGGTCCACAGCAACCAAGGCAAGACGTGGAATGGATGAGCACCCTACCGGTGGACATATCGATATGTCCTTGGCTTACTTTTGTCGGCAACCATGTTTTATCCCCTTCCCAGGATCCTTGGAGCGTGCTTGTATTAAGCAGGCTGACGCCTGATGCCGCCGACCCCCAATGTGCTTTTATTGCTGATGTTGTGTTAAATGTTGTTTTAAGAATTCGAGGTACGAGGTAAACATTATGATGATGGTTATTATTATTAATTGGCGAGATTCGCAAAAAGAGAAGAAAGAAGAAGACAGAAGTAACTCTAAGGTGTAATAAAAGATGGACTGGATCTCCTCGAAATCTTGGATCAAAGAAAAGAGTACCCGAATGAAGATCACCCAACATTAAAACAAGTGTCCAGATAAGATAGGCAACGAAAGCATCATCATCATCATCATCATCATCATCATCATCAGTGTCATCATCATCCTCATCAGCATCATCCTCACCATGCATCATCACCATCAGCATCATCATTCATCGGCATCAACATCATCATCATCATCATCATCATCATCATCATCACCATCATCATCCTCATCATCCATCATGACCATCATCCATCATGACCATCATCATCGGCATCATCCCCATCATCATCGGCATCATCCCCATCATCATCATCATCATCATCATCATCATCATCATCATCATCATCATCATCATCATCCATCACCATCATCATCATCATCATCCTCATTCTCACCAGCATCATCGTGATCATCACCATCATCATCCATCATCATCATCATGATCAGCATCATCCCCCTCATCATCATCATCATCCACCAGAGGTGAGGTGAGGGTTAGGTTAGAGGTTAAGGTTAGAGCATGATCATCATCATCATCATCAGCGTCATCATCATCATCATCATCATCATCATGATCAT